AGGAAATAATGTGCATTGTATTATGTGACTTTAAAAAATCTTACTCATCAAATAGAATTAATCTTCAAGCTGGGTGGATGCAGAACAGGATAACGTGGAGGCTCTCAGGATAACTGCTCTGTGGGCAACTCTGACACCCTTGGCAAGATTCTTCTGTGGGCAGGAGAAGGTCCATAGTGCTGCAGGTGGCTGTTGTGACCCCCCTTGCATGCCGGTGTGTCTAGCTAAGGTTAGCTCTTTTGCATGCCTGTAATGCTCCATGCTGCCAAGGAAGACAAACCTTGCCCAATTTCTTAAGTCTGTGTTCGACTTTGCAGCATGGCAGTAAAAGCAGAGGAGCACTGTTCGTCAGTAACGCTGATGCAAAGGGTGTGCTTGGCTCCAGTGTGAGCAACAGTTCGGTGCCCTTTCCCTTCACACCCCCAGGCAATGGCTGAGCCTGCTGAGGTAGCTAGTACAAAATGATGCACTTTTGTTTATTATTTCTCTGGTTTGTTTTTTTTTTTCTGCTGATTTAATTAGCTTAAATGGGATTACTAAAGGACAAGGCTCTCCCCCACAAGAATTCTGTGTTCTAAGATTAGTTTCTAGAAGAATCTGCTAGCAAAATCTCAGTTCTGGTCTGTGGGTGCACAAGCAATTCAGATCAGATGATGGCCCTTGTGATCCTTGAGCAACCATAAAAAAATCGACATCCTGAATTCAGTAGGCTAATTTGCAGATGGATGCATTTGAACTGCACATTAGCAAGGTAATGCTCAGTTAACATATTTTCCTTTCATTCATGATGAGCTCTTCTCCAATGGAGGAGAAATGCTGCAGGTAGAAAAGAGAATCGGTCACACTATTTTTATTTACACTTTTTTCCTATCTCTGGTTTCAAGCCTGAATCCAAACATAAAATCGATACAGGGCAAGCCACTTTTGTCTTTCCCTGGTTTTGCTGCTTTGTAAGATCTCTTGGGAGTATTCCTATCAGGGAGCAAAGCTGGGTTTATGGTGGCAGAGAAGGAAAGGTTTGGCCTAGCTCCAAAGTTCACAACTTTTTTTCTGTGTACTTGTTACAGTCTTAGGGAACCATCCCAGAATCAACACTTGCCTGGGAAACTTTCCCATCCCACCCTAACCTTCTGCTCAGTTTTCCTATGGTTGAATTTGCAAGGTTAAACCTTTTTATTAAAAAATAAAGGACCGACTGAGAGTGAGACATTATCCTTGAATTCTTATATTTTATGACAGAACTAGTCTTGCATGCACAAGAGCCCACAAGGGCAGTGCTTGGGCCAGTTCAAGGGGTGTCTGAGAGTTGCTGCAGGGTTAGGAGGCATACTGTGTATAGAAATGCAGCAATCAGTTTCTTATGTGTGTGTGATGATCCCCAATAAAACACATTTCTGAATACACTGAAATATTTTAAGAAATTAGTGTTTTTTCTCTATTGTTTAAACAAAACATATAGCAACTTCACACAGAAACCAAGAAAATATAATTATGGGTTGCTATTTGTCTGTGTGGCCACTTAAGCCTTCAAGGGACCACGTTCTTCTGATGGAAAAAATATATATGAGATGGTGTAATTCCTTGAGTATTGCTCCCTGGGTATAGTTAAATGGTTCAATTGTGACTGGTTCTTATGGGTTTGGATAAGAGGCAGAGACAACACAAAAATCAAGTTTGTGATGGAAATTTCATGAAAAAGAGGCCAACTGGTCCCTCTTTCCCAAGAGAGCTGCAAAGACGTCACTGTGAGGTATGGGATTTTATTTTTTTTTCCTTTAAGAAAATATTTACTAGTTCTTTTCTACATTCCTTACACAGTCTAAACAACACTGAAGCCAAGGAGAGCTGGGTTTGAATTATGAGCTTTTCCAGCATTTTTAGAGTTGATCTCTGAAATTGCTAATAAACCCATCTTTTTTATTTTTTTTATTTTTATTTTATTTTATTTTTTTTTTCAGGCTGTTAATTTAGTGTACCTCTAAACTAAGGTTGTTTTCCTATAATCTTTAAAAATGTTTAAAATTGCTAATGCTAAAACTGTTCAACACCCAAGGATACCTGTATCCATCAGGGTGCTGGACATGTACCCTCTTTC